CTTGCGTGGCAGTAGAACTAAAACCCAGTTGTTTATCTAACGCAACAAACTGCTGAAGTGGAGTGCTTTCAGGATGAAGAGCGATTTGGTATCCACACTCACCCAGAACAAACGCCGCGACTTGCAACATGGGCTCACAGATGTATTTTCTACTATAAAGTGCGTGAAAAACCGTGCTCGCAGCGTGCTTTTGAACTGATGGGTTGTTTATAATGACTCGGATAACGCGATGCACAATATTAGCGGAGCACATATTGCCAGCTTGTACAATAGTTTTCAGCATGATGTCAGTGTAGGCATTGGGATCATCAATGTATTTTCCGCTTAGAGACGCTATAAAGGTCGCTAAATGGGTCCTAAAGTCTGGTTCATCCGAAACAGAAAGGTGCACCAAGAGGGTTTTAATGATATTCGACGAATTGGATGGATTACACATCCCCACCAACACATCCAGCGCTTTTCGCCGAATCGAAACATCGGCATCGTGTAAGCCCACAATAACTTGCGGCTGATATTGCTTACAATAGGTTTGATAGCTAAACTCAGGGATATCCATATGTCTCAGCTTGTTCAACAAGTCTAGCCCGATATAACGAAAGTTGGCGTCCCTTTTTTCCGACACAAAGCTACCGACGACACTGATGCACTCCCAGGTTAGCTTTGGGCTCAGGTTCCATACTATCGACAAGGAAACCACCTCATGGAACACGGCACTCATAATACTCACCCGGTTCCGAATACCTTTTTGTTTTAACTGTGTTTGTGAATCCTTCACAACTTTATCGGTAGCCTTTACCATTTTCCGCAAAATAACAACAATACGATCCTTTTGGTACGACTCTTCTGGGATAGGCAAGCATCGTAAAAGGCGGAGGAGGTTGCATTGAAACCAAGGTGCCGGAACACCATAGTAGACATAACCGGGCTCAATTTTCTTTTCAAGAATAATGCGGGCAAGGGCATCAATAAGTTTTGAAGGAATTTCTTTAAAGAGATGCAAGTTGTGCTTTCCAACACACCCATGAAGAAACTTGACGGCGCACATACTAGCTCCATCATGTTCACACAAAATAAGATCAGCGGCCTTGGGGATGATCAGCGAAAGATCTACCACCTCTGGATATTTATGATAGATATGCAGCAGCGTGAGTAATGCCTTTTTCCGTATATAAATGTCAACCGCATCGTTTACGATGAGTTCTTGAACACCACCATGCATAATCGCGGCAAAATCTTTCCCACCTGTACATGCAACCACCGATAGCGCCAATCCACGATTAGAATCTGAACACGAAATAAGGTCACTGTATACAGTGTGCGCTGCAAGAGTGAGTAACTCACTATTTTCATTTAGGAAAACAGCAACTGAGAGGTAGCCGACAAGCTTTTCTGAAAGGGTTTGCCCTGTCATCAGCTCGAGCCCTTCCAAATGTCCAAATGTAATAGGATACCCAAGCATCGAAATAAACATAAGCTTACAGACATATTTTTTCCGATCATATGTGCTCATGTTAGTGCCGTTAATGAATTTAGTTCGGATCTTCACTAGTTCTTCGTCTACACGCTCTTTTTCGTCCCTTAGATTGCTTGTTGCTTTTCGGATATCCCGAATAAAATGAGCAAGGCCACGCATATCCATTTTTGCGGGACCGGTCTATTCGTTTCACCTGAAGGAGCTAAAAGAAGAAAAGGAAAAAAGGCTATCCTTTTTTTTTAGCTACAGAAGATTATGAAAATATGGCATCACAAACCTAGATCCTGCTCTATAAGTACGTCAACGATTAGAAACCAAAAATCCACAGCTGCACTGATTTTTTTTTTTCAAGGATAGTGGACTTGGGTAATTTTTAAAATTTATATGTTCTATCTGGAGAAGGGGATACAAATAGAGAAGAGTCTGCTCTTTTTCGTTTTACAGGCGTTTCAAATGCAGAAAGGCTGTCACTATCTCCTGAATCTGAAGGAATGTCTGATAATGGAAACTCCGTTTTCGAATTCAGGGGAAGTGGATCGTCGATACTTTTGCTAAGTATGGATGAAGATACATTCGAATAGCGGCCGTCTAAAAAATTGTGCCGTCTTTTATTTAACAAGTACGCCGGAAATTTTCTCATTGAATGCGGAGGGGACCTAGGGGCAGGTTGGCAGTTGTAAGAGTTTGCATCCCAGACCGCGCAAGGGGCTACAGGGTGTCTGACATGCGGGTAATTGTCTTTTTTTGCATTGGTGTCGACCACTTCGCAAAAAAACGGGGATCCAAAAGTTTTGTTGGTGCTTTTCAAGGCCGTAGATCGTGGCAATAAAAAGTCACACCCATAGTTCGTTTTCCACGAAAAAAGAGTTGCCTCGAGTTTGTCCATGATATCTCTGACTTGTGGATCTTTTTGTGAAGCATTATTGAGAATTCGAAGCGGACTCTTAAGCGCAACTTCACAAAGAAGCTCTGAGTTTACCGAGGTAGTAAGAAAAAGTTGCGGCAACAGAAGCTGATCGAGTCGTTTGATCATTTTAGGGTTGGGCTCCTTTCCAGAAGCGGTGGAGAGGAAAACATCCCCGAGATGGGCGACCACCTCGAGAACGAGCAGCCTGTGCTCGGTCTGACGCATAGTTGCCGATCTTTTTACCTTTGACGTTTTAGCGTGAAAACGCGCATCACAAAGCACTTCTCTAGCACGATTAAGCGCATCGGAGCAGTCAAGTTTTATGTCCCCGAAAAGAACTTCTTGTAATTGATCTAAGAGTTTACTGGCATTGGGTGTAAGGACATTGCTGAGGAGATCAGATAAATTTAATAGAACTTCTTTCTCTGAGGCTTCCATTTAGCTCACCCAGGTATTTTATATTTTCGTTTATGAAATGCCATATACTAGGCAAATAAAACCCATCTAATGGAAAGATAAAAAAAGGATGAATCAATAGAATCCTTTGCTCTGGGGAAACCACAGAAGGTGATTGTTTGAACCTGAACATTATTAATATTAACCTGGAAACAAAAAGGTAATAATCGCAAAGCTAGACACCATATTAGATTTCACATCAATAGCTTTTTTTTTAAACCAATTCAACAGGTTTCCAGAAATAATAGAGAATTAAATACATAATGTATGTCAAAAAAACTTTGAATCAGAATCGTAAAGACTGGTATTTTACAAGACGCTGATAATTTGGAAAACAAGAGTTGTTCTTTGTGTGTAAGTGTTTGATCAGAGAAGTATTTGAAATGAAAAAATAAAAGCAAACAAAGAGGCGCATTTTGCTTCCTACGAATTAGTAAAGATCAAAGTTTTCAATACTCCTCGGATTTTGCTTAATTAGTATTTTCCTATTTGCTTCATGAACGGATTTGGTGCTATTCGGACTTCCAAAACATGGATAAGAGTAAGAAACGATGTGTTACCCTATTCCAGGATTACTTACTCAGGAGTATATCAATGACACATTAATATCCGATGCAATTTTATAGTTGAATTGATATCAGTACTACCATTAACGAAGAGTATGGTTTTTTAATTTTCATATGTAAAGCCAACGAAACAAGGCGAATTAGAGTCTTCCGAGGTTAGCAGTAGGTTAAGAAACCTCTACGTAACGGCAGTGATGCTTAGATCATCATGATTATATCCATATTAACAAATGATACCTGAGTAGCATACATTCAAATACAGTAGCCTTGTCTCGTTATTGCACATTTTATGTAATTTTACGGTCTCTTGTAATAAATTCAGTAGTACAGTTGACAGCATTGCATTGAGTTTTTAGGCATTATTGTCTTAATATTCCACCAATGCACTAGCTTTGACGAAATCCATTTATTGGTTGTAACTTCACATAAAGTGCAGGAGTTTAGTCTTCATATTTTTGTAGAATATTACACTAGGGAACATTCATCAGTAAAAAAAATGCAATAGTTTGAGTCCAAACAAATCACTTTTCATACTATTCAAATCGTTATCATCTGAAAGGTAGTCTTTTCACGTATTTTTTTGAAGTTTTTATGGAGTCGAAGTTGTCAAAGGGCGGTAACGATACTGACACCTAAGTAATCGTGATGATAAAAAGATCGCTTGAGGGATGCCTTTCAATCAGTCATGTCAAAAGCAAACGATTTTTCTACTTTTGAAACACAATTTCAACCAGATAATCTAATATATTAGGAAATCAATGAATGATTTCATGTAGTCAGAAGAGATAAAAAGCTTGTTATGAATCTTCTTAGATAATATGAAAAGTAGGTCTTGGATGTAAAGTACATCTTAGTTTTATCATCAATGCGTCAGGAAAAGCTCAGTGCGCAGATTAAATCAAGCAGCTTTACAAGTTGCACAATTAGCTTTCAAAAAGAATAAAGCGAATGGTACAAAAGGTGTATACAGTTTTAAATAGATGTCATTTTCTATCAGGTACAAAAACTAATCATCGGTGCCAGTGTATGTAGAAGTCTCCTTCGGATGCACACCACTCTACACTCATCTCTTGCCATTTATAGTCTTTCATTTCGAACAACGCGAAGGCGCCTGGATCACGAATAGACGCTACAGACCTTCCATGAGGGTACAAGTCATCAAAACACAGGACTCTGGTCCCCGGCAATGCATCTCTTAGTCGCTCGGAGGTGTAGTGTGTAAGAGGTTTAGGAAAAAGAAGATTGGACAGAAGAATAGCAACGTTACCGTTGTTACATTTCAAGAAACCGGGGTTTGACAAAATTTCTGCTATATCCCCAACGATGATCTCAACCGACCCCATTGTTTTCCCATTATGGGTTTCATAAAGAGAGCGAAAAATTGGCCATGCTTCTTGAGCAATTTTTGCATTATGTTGACTTATTTCAATTCCAATACATTTCGCTCCGGTTTGACAGGCAACTTGAAATAATACAGACCCATTTCCACATCCCAAGTCATAAAATATATCCGAAGAGGTTATTTTCATGAGTCGAATAGCTCGAGCAATGAACGTTGGGAGCAACGACTTAGCACATAGATGCCGAGAACCTGCAACTTCGGTTACCCTTTTCATAGGTAACTGTTCGTACACCTGGGAGAGTAAGCTTTCAAAATACAAGCACTTACAGTAGCTGCCTAGACAATGATAACAACCATTTCGGTTCTGATTTTTTCGTAGCGGCAGACGATAGGGATTTCCAGGAGTTCCATTACCAATTTCAGAGTCGTCAGTATGGTAAGCAGCTCCAACGATGCTTTCCCACTTTGCATTTTTCTTCACAATAGCGGCATCCGATACTAAAAAACGTCCTATTGGTTTAGGTGTCACCGCCTCAGTTCTGGCCCTTTTTGTGTGTCGCATCGGTATAGTATTAAATACGGTAATGACTGTAATCTAACTTTTTCTATATTAAGAAGTGAAATTATTAAGGTGGCTGAAGAGCCTTTAAAGATCTGAAAGAAAAAAAAGAATAAAATTTGATAATCAATTGTCGATAAGAAATCAGGAATATAAGTTTAAATTGTTCCTTTCATTTTGTGGGTAATGAGGGACAACACCTAAACACATTTAATATGATCACACAACATTTCAAATGTTGTCCTTTAAGGACTCAAGGCGCTTCTTTAAACCCAATTTCCGCTTCTCAACAGCCATCCGTTCAAACTCCTTTTCTTCAGGGAGTTCTAAGTTCTGAAAATAAGATATGTATCTTGTTCCTCCTGTTTTTCTAGGTTCTACGGTACTTACAATTGCATTAGTTTCCTGCCGATCATTTATCTCACTTTCCTTTTCAAGCTTCAAAACTTTTTCTTCAAGTTCTGGTGACAAAAGCCATGTAACCTTTTCAAGGTAAGTCGTTTTGATAGTGGATTCGAGAGACTCAAGTTCATTGGTAGTTGAACCAAGCGATTGGCTCCTGTGTGATGACAGTTCTTCATCACTCTCTAGCACAGGGCGCTCGCGTTTTGTGCGAAAAGTTGCAGCCTCTGGTAAGTCCTTAGCGCAACCGAAAAAAACCTTGTTAGATATGGAGTTAACCCAGCCTTCATTCTTTAAAATAGCAAGCCTATTTTCCCATTGATTTTTTTGAGCTATTAGTTTATTAATTTCGTCATTTCTTGCTCGTACTACTCCCTCGCCATCTTTTTCGATGCTTATAAAAGATGCGTTGCGAATTCGTGCAATTTTGTCACCAATTTCCTGTTTTAACCTGTGCAAAACAAACTTAATTACGCTAATATCATTCACATTGTGTGGGCTAGGGGGTATTTTGTTAATACCAAGCCGTTCTAAACGCTCCTCTTCCGCCCTCCGTTTCGTAAGCTTATACAATATGGTATTTTTGCGCTCGCTTGTTCGGGCAAGCGTTCCCTCGATCTCCCTTAGATGATCTTGCATTAGTGGGCCACCGAGTTCTATTGTGGTTCTAAAACAAGGAATAAAAGTTGGAAAATCAAGCTTCGGCACTTTAGTGAGGTATAAAAAGAAGTGATTAATTAATGGTGAAGAATTCTCAAAGTAGCTTAAACATGATCATAAACAAAAGTACTGCTATTGCAAATAAAAACACACTGTATTGACATTCACGCATAAAATTTGATTTTTAGTTTTTGCCATTGGGGTATAATCTTCCATTTTATCTTTCGCTTAGCCTGGATTCCTCAAAAGAACACGTCAGTTAGAAGAACTCACTAAAAATCCATTTGACAGATACAACACTTCTAAATGGGATGGTTCCGTTGACCCTTTTCCATAAAAAACTTCAGACTGAGACTCACCATGAAATTGTGCAATGGCGCAAACCTTAAGCGATAGAGAAGCACCCCGCCCATTCTAATAATTCCCAGCACCGCACAACGGCCATGTTTGCTAGAAGCTTTATTTACTTTTATTTTGGGGCGCTCCACATTTTTTATTTTTATTTTTTTTGTGTAGGGTTGGAATTTTTTAGAGCACGCGCCGCCCTCCTTATGTTCAGTATTAATTTATTTTATTTTTGTTATTATAACATTCAAATTCTATTCAGTAAATATGTTGACGACACAAATTTCAGTAAATTGCTCATTGGGTGCTCACGTATATAAAGTGGTCTTCGAGTTTCACCCGACAAAAGTCTCAGGTTTGTTTTCCAACCCTTGACTACTCATCCCCCCTACACGTGCATTGTTTCCCTCGGTAGTAGCACTTGCTTTTGTTTCATGGTACTAAAACAATGAATGCTTCTTATTTAAGTACACATACGAATGGATGTGCAGCCTAATTTAGCTTGATTCATGAGTTTCATAAAACTCAACAACAAATTTTATAGGGGAAACTAATGGATCAATAACAAACGCTACGATAGATAAACAAAGAATAATAACAACAACTAAATATATAATAAAAATAATAACAAATGTAGAAATCGCAGGTGTCATTATTTTTGAAAAACAGACCTGCTAATTGTTCACAATATCGAATACATTATTAATAGTAATGCAAGCATTATTGGTATTAATGTCGATCTTTAACAAATTTAGCATATCAACATATCGGAGATAAAATCCAGATATTTCACAACAAGAATACACATTTTATTCGAGCTTCAAGATATGTGGTTCTTATTATCATTACTTATTGAGATTGAATAAATGGTATTAGAGCCAGAACAAGATAATTGCATGGAAGGCTAATAAACATATACGTTAAGAATTTTAACCTCCCATTAAGCTTCAGATTAAGAAGTGTTGGATCCATAAGTAAGATGATCTGAAATTGATTCACTTTTTAAGGTAAAAAAAAAATGAAGCTAAAGACTGACTTGAATAATCCTCTGAATCAGTTTTGAGGGAGTTAGAGAGTGTGGACGGCTTTTGATGATGTAGATATTTTTATTTTCATCAAGAATATATATATAGCTCTAGATCAGTTGACAAAACTTCAAACATGTAGAGGTCATCCTTATTAAACAATTCAGATTGCACTACTTGCCGATAGTTCAACAAAAAATTGCTACATTATAAAGTGATTTTTTAACTTTGCAGACACAAATCCAGAAACTATCTATATCGTGTTGATAGACGATAAAAAAAATGACTTACATTGCATACCCAGTCTTATTTTACATGCTTCTTATCTCTATAAGATACATAAATCGTGTTCAATTTTATTGTTAAGACAAAGACACATTCTTCCTTCTTGTGAAGCCCTGATGTCATTGCCATATATTTGGTCGGATTAACATTCAGATAATTCATTTTTCCATCATTTTATCATGCGCCTATATTGTGACTCCAGACTTGGATTTTAAACAGCGGGTCATTTTCTTGAAGTCTGCTTGCAAGACAAGTGCACATTCGCCACCTTCCAATAAAGAATTTAATCATATTTATTTGATTATACTGTTTAAACTAGGCTTCTTTGCTATTCAATAGATGCGTATTGTGAAAGTTCCTTCCTTTTTTTTTTGATATACAGTAAGTTACTATAAAGGCATTCCTTTATTTTACATTGTGGTGACACGTTTGATATAATATTAATAAATTTTCAGTTTTGTTTTTAAAAACATTATTTTTGTGTTCCTTATAATCTGCAAGTCATTTATTGAAATTAGTTATCAGGTCTGTACAGAATGTCTAACCAGAGTGTGACTATATTTTCTTATATTTTTTTAGATTTTTTTTTTAATATTGAACTGTACCCTTTTAAAATTTTATGTGCCATTTGCTGTTCACTAGTTTCATTTTCATATCCTATAGAGCTATGAATTATTCTATGCTAAATTTCAATGACATATTTTTCTTATTATCCCCCAAAAGGTTGATACTGGATAATTTCATTCCAATCTCAAAAATATAATTGGTGAATGCCCTACTGTTTATGTATTGTATTAGACAATAATATATATATAGAAAGATATTGAAACATCCCCCCTTTACTCTTTAAAGCAACAGCATAGAAACTTATGGAGTTATCATGTCGTCTTACGTTTTGTGAAGCCCAAGCTTATGTTGACGTCCAATTTTGGCAAAGGTTGAGGCATCTCAAATTGTCTGAGTGGAAGTTGAGTGACCAAGTGGTGCATATTCATGGAACACTTCGAACCGATATTTCGGCAAATGCTTGTGTTGATGATTGTTCAATGGTATGTTTCAGTCAGGATGCTTTTAATGATGAAGAAGCGTATCTTTCTTCGACATCACAAAGTAGTTTTGTTAGTGTTCGGTTTCCTGGGTGTTTAAAAAACTTTAATTTCCTTACGGAACTACTTGATCTCGACACAAAAGCAAGCCTTAATGATATGCTTTGCTCCGAATTACTTATTCCTCTTCTTTGCACTGAATACACCTCGCTCCAGGAAGAGGAGGAAGCATGGCGTGCGGCCAAATACACGCCGTTTGTGATGTTTACTTATGTTGATGCGAAGTCTTACCTTTTCTACCACCGAGAGGCCTTTCCGTCCTTTGCCCTTAATAGTCCAATCGAAATATCATCTTCCCATACAGGAGGAGGGAATGATTTTATTTCTGAGAAAGCCGCTGAAGAAATCTTTGAGTATGGGCGATGCCTCCTTTTGGAAAAGCCTTATAGTTGCAATCCTTTTATTTCCATTTTAGACGACAGAGAACATGTCCTGTTTCATGCGTTTACCCCTCAAAATTTCTCAAAACTTAAAGATGAGGGTAAAATACCCGTTGTTTGTTTTTTTAATTTTTCTCCCGCACCGACCACTGCTTCCTGGGCAACACGAAATATTATCTTGTGTTTGCGGCTGGCACTACCATCCACGACATCGTTTTCATTCTTAGCCTTACGCCCTGGTGGGGTGGCTAGTATCTGGCACGTAGAATGCACCTGTAAGCCTCTGTGCGCCTTGTCTGTAACTGCCGCTTTGAGTACCATACGGAATCGTCGTTCCGACTCTGGATTCCACGATGAAGCCCCAAGACAAGCCAACCATTTAGCTCTTCTAAGACCAACTGGATGGCGAAGGAAAGGGGTGGCAGTAGTAGACCTTAGTACTATGATGGACCCCACCCTCCGCGCGGACGCTGATTCCCTCCTCAACTTGGAGCTCATGCGTTGGCGCGTTTTGCCATCACTTGAGCTGTCATCCCTAGCTGAATGTAGGGTCCTATTGCTTGGCATGGGTACCCTGGGGTGCAATGTGGCTCGCAACCTGCTTATGTGGGGTGTGCGGCACCTCACACTAGTGGATCGCAGTGTTGTTTCTTTCTCCAATCTTGCACGTCAATCTTTATTTTCGGTATCCGACGCTAGCTCTCGGCGCTCAAAAGTTGAGGCTGCAGCGGATGCCTTACGTGCTATTATTCCCACTGTGGATGCGCATCACGTGTTAATGACTATACACATGCCAGGTCACCGAACCGATCCCACCAAGGATGCTGAAACCAAGGCCGAAATTGAAAGACTTGTTCAGTTAATACAGGAGCACGATGTAGTTTTTCTTCTGACAGACAGTAGTGAAGCACGGTGGTTGCCAACGGTGATTGCCGCGGCTTACAGTGTTCCCGTCATCAACGTCGCCTTGGGCTTCCACCAGTACGTGGTGATGCGGCATGGCGTGGGGTCACCGGCCCCCCCCTCCTCCATCGGGTGCTACTTTTGCAGTAGCGTCGTCGGGCCTCTGGACAGCGTGAGCGGGCGCGCCCTCGACGAGCAGTGCACCGTCACCCGCCCCGGGGTCTCCGCCATCGCGTCCGCGATCGCGGTGGAGCTGCTGGCCCAGGTCTATCAGCATCCCCGCCGCTTCTACTGCCCCGCCTATCGAGGGGATTCCAACCCTGAGGCCATGCAAGAGATCCGTTGTCTGGGCGCCATCCCACACCAGATTCGTGGTGATGTATACCGCTACGGCGTGCGCCTATTTTCTGCGGAGCGGAGCCCTTATTGCACCGCATGCTCAGAACCTATTTTGCTCACATACCGAAATCTGGGCGTTGATTTCTTACTTCGTTGCGTCAATGATCCTGCCCTTATCGAAGAAGCAAGCGGAGTGATGGCGTTGAGGGAACAATGCCATACAGAATTAGTGGACATGGAACTGATTACTAGTAGTGAAAATGAATCACCCTAAACAGAGCGTTGCTCACTTGGAGACATCCTATACCTCCTTCCAAAGGTATTACCTATTTTATTCGTTATCTGCTTTGGTTGTTTTTATTTAATTATTACTATTAGTGATATGTTCACTTTGTACATCAAAAAGCTGGAACCTACATATAAAGACTGGGAAAGGCGTTTTTCGAGACTTAATGTTGATGCAACCCCCTTTTTTTGATCTCATTTGGTTTCAATTATCTACATCCCAAACAATCTTGTAGCGCTCATCCATCGGCCGAAGGTTCTTCTTTTCCATTTTTACCTCCTTGGCCATGTCTTTCCCTTAAAAGTATATTTCTCTCTATATAGCATCGTTCGTCTTTATCTTATTTACGTTTCTTTGCCTTAAAATTCCTTTTCAATAACTGGAAAGAACAAACTGCACTATATTGACATTACTGCAAACAAACAAAAAAGCTTAATCTGCTTGTCATCGAATCATCATTGCACACTCGACGTTGGGAGCATCATGACGCCTTCTAAAATGCTCAACGCTTTATGCTTAAGGATATCCAAACCTTCGATTCCTTTTTCAAAAAGTCTTAAAAATATGAATGTCTAGCCACAGACTATCCAATGTCAGCCTTTATTTCTACTAGCTCCTCAGAAATCCAACTTATGGGGTGTGGAGGGGATATTTTTGACCCTTTTTATATCTTTTTATGTGTTCTGACTTGCACTAGGCTTATACAAATTACCTTATTTGCATTGAAGGTCGAGTGTGTGGTTTGGAGTTAACGGACAACATAACAGTGATTTTAATAAAAACGCATAATGACGTTTCACAGCTCTGCGAGAAATTACCCATTTGCCCTCTTTGTTCTACTTTTTGAAGGGAGACTTTTTCAATATTATCTCGTCCTTGATAAATCTACGGAGTCCTGTGGTTGTGTGTTGCTTACCATTGTTTGAAATAAAAAAGTTTGACTTTATTAGTTGAATTTTTACACTACTTAAGATTCTACCTTTTTGTTTCTTTAAATTACAAGAATACCGTATTTTTTTATGGTAGCTTGTAGCTTCTGTTAGGGAGGCCCCCTATTATGGCACCAGTGCGGGGGATTAGACCTATTCTCATGGGTATTCTTCAGTAGTGGGTTCAATACGAAGGCCGTAAGCATGCATTTTTTTCACTGTATTCTTTCATATTCAAACTATCGCCGTGTTACTTTAAACGTCTCGGTTATTGATAGTGAACGAAAAGTTTCTATGGATAGCCCTCATTTTGACTGCACTTGGCAACGGTTTCATTGCAACTGAAAATGTCTTTGCAATACATACAATTGACGAAAAAGGTATGCCAAATCCATATAGCCTTATGTCTATCACATTTCTCAGGACCTTTATTTTGGTTAATCAAATGCTTTACGGTGGCTGGTACACAAAAGAGGCAGAATAATACCATTTGTTGTGGTTATCGATGTATTGGGGTCCCTTATCTTGTTATGAACCTTCTTGTTGGTTCTGACACTGCCTCTAATTTTATATTCACTACCAATACCTACCATGTTGCAGTGTGCTTTGGAGGAGCACGAATGGTAGTATGCTCCAGTCATTAAAACCCTCATTGGCAGTAATATTATCGAATCTCAGTTCCTCCCGCAGAATGTCCAACTATGATAAAGGAACCGGTTGGCCTAAGAATTTTTGTTTCTCTTAGTTGCTTCCCTTCTAATATACTGGCACTGTAGCGTGCATAAAGCTCATTATCTACACATCTACATAGACAAGTGTCTAGATAAATTTAGTTTTCACCCCCTCTCGTGAAGTGATTTGTTTTCGAAATCACCCCATGCCCCGCAAGGATTAATGTAGAATAACGACCTACTTGTTGCTGTTTGCTTTATCCTTAATAAATGTTGCGAGTATGTTTTGCGTTCTTGAAGTCCTTATTATAGTTACTAGGATGATCAACCACAACAACTGCTTCCCAGTGCTAAGTTTTCTCCAGATTCCAGGGAAAATGTCTAGGCCTTTGTGGCTTATGATGGGCACAGCGTTTAAAATAGAAAAGACAACTACTAGTTTGACGGCGACCTCGGCAGAGCGTACCTTTTTCCTGACTGCCAAACACACCTTTATCCCGTGGAGCTGTTCCAAGGCTGCCGCTAGTCTCAAGATTCCCGAGGCGTACCGCAAGTCACGCTACGTTGTAGGGCGGCTTTACGCAGCCCTAGATGATACTATTCCCCAGCATGCTGATGCTCCCTGTTTTGCTGAAATTAGTCTCATTTCGAGCCACCCGACGCTTGATGTAGCTTTGCTGGCCACCCAAACCTTCTCCAGCCAGTTGATGGAGCGGACCATTGCCCAGGCACCCCCGCTGTCTCTGTGTCCTCACGAGGCGATGCCTGGGAAGGGAGCACGCTGTGTTATCAACGGTTTCCGTGGGGAGGGAAGGTTGGGGGAACTCGATACGTTCGATCCAGACTTGCTTCAAAAAATGGCGCCCAAGGAAAGAGAAGCGCTTCTCAAGGAGTTGGAGTCTGTAGAGGGCAAGCAAGTAGCGGCTAGCACCTTTGTGGAGGTATTGGATCCTCTAGGAATGTGTCACGGTGTTGGAGATAAAAATCAGTGTTTTCATGGTATGTCGGGGTCACCGCTATTAACGTTTGTTGACAGACAAATCATGTGCTTTGGGGTGCTGTACGGTAAGCATCCTGATTTTCCACATAACATTGGCTTTACGCCATCCAGCGCCATTCTCCCATGGGTTCAAGATGCTATTCGATGAGCGGGATATAACTCCATCACTGTTTCTGTTGAGACAATGACACCAATACAAAAGACGATCTTATGTAGATGTCAGGGTTTTGGATCTTGTATTATTCTGTAATCTAGATATCTCCTGCATGCTCTACCCTTGGAACGGGGAAAGTTACTGTACGGTACTTCCCTCCTTTGTTGATTTTGATACTTCTCTTTGTTTATTGGACTGCAATGTGGGGTTGTGGTGAGAGGTGGATGTATGGACGTGATAATGGGGTAGTCTTATTTTACAGCCCGAAGCACGCACAAGTAAAGTGACATTACTGACTCAGCTCGAACTCGGTTGTTGAAGCTCGTGCATTGTGTGAAATGTGAAGATCACTTTGTATGACGAGAATGCAGGTATGAAATGATTATCCTAAGAATTCTAAAGCGATAGGTCAGATATTGGTTAGATGGAGTCCAAAAGATGATACAAGGCTCACCTCTGCACCAAACTGTCATCGGAAAGCACTACACGACAAACAGTTATATTTTGGCAAGCACTTGTGACAGGAGATACACCAGCTTCGGACAAACGAAGATGTGGATCCCGCCATATAGCACACATAAAAATTACAAGACCATTTTTC